TCCTGTAAATATTCGGCATGTATTGTTGATAAGTCAGCAGAGCAGGCTTTATTTGCACTTCAAAATGGAAAACTTATGTCTCTTTAGTAAATCAGGAGGAAAAATATCTTCTTACAACAGTATCCTGTGTTATCAATCAAAAGCCTTATGGGCAGCTTAGTTTCTGAGTTATTTAGACAGGTCTTAACATGCTGTGCCTGTGGCTTGTTACAAGGAACCGAATCCCTTCCTTGCCTGTAAATATTTACACCAGAGACATTCAGCTCACTTGCGACAAATTATCCTGTAGAACCTACTCAGTAGAGAATTTTATACTTAGAACAGACAGAATGCTAGTTTCAATTCCCTAAAACAGAATATGAGTTGACGAAAGAGGCATTAGACCTGGCCTCATTAAACCAATGATACATCCTGTTCCTTCCTATAGGATGATATACTCTTCGAGTTAAACTAAAACTTGTCAAATTGGCACCTATTTGTTAATAATAGGAGCTTAAAGGAGCGTGATTAAAACGCTTTGAATGTTCTTAACCAAATATAGTGTCAGAAAACTTTAGACAGTCTTTACCACCGCAACGATTACTAAATGATCTTGATCTACTCGAAGTGAAAACGTGCAACTATTTAACGTCTATATGTTTACGAATCAAAGAAAAAAATATCGACAAAGTTTTTCTATCAGTAAGATATTGTGCACGAGGACAATAAGAAGCCCAATGTCTCTTTCAGTAAACCTTTGATATCGAGTGGCTAGAGGACCATTCTGATAGAAAATTACGGAAAAATCTTCATTTGCAGAATCGCAACGGTTAGTAGTCTGATTAGTCATCCAGCGATTAAGTCTTGTTGAATTCGGGAAACCCACTAAGATTAGCAAAGCAAGCGACATAAAGTATAGCAAGATTTCCATTATATAGCTTTAGTTTGAGTTCTGTGACTTTCAGCTTAACGGCTACACGATTGGTGGTTTTATGAATGTATATTTTTCAGTAAAGCAGGAAAGTCTTGGTTGGATCTTAGGGTAGTAGATCGAACTGAAGAGAAGCTATTGCTTAAAAAAGTCTGGAATGTAAGTTTAAGGACCTGTGTAGATAAGTGTTCAAGTGGAACAAATACTGTGTTGTTACAGCATTAACAGTGAAGCCCAGCATGTACGCATCACTCTTCCGAATGCATTTTTTCCCTTTTGGCTTCATACATCATTGTTCATATTAATCGACTCTTCAATGTGATGCCAATGCGTCACAAGCCATTGTTAGGAACCAAGTATACACTCTAAAGTGTTGCGAGATGTAAATTAACAAAAATGAGCTCAATAAC